GTTGACTTCTCACTTCAAACTACCATGACCCCACCGTATGGCATATTCGACCACTGCCACGATACTCACCTTTTTTCTGCCTTTGTGTTTGCCTGTCTGTCTCTTTTACATCTGTGAATCACTCTTCCTTTCCCTCCATCTTTACTTCTTCTCACTTTGCCTATTCCTCCTCCTCTCTTTGAAGCCTGAAGTCAGCTAAAGGGCTAATGATAGCTATCAAAATGCCTGCCATTTGAAATAAATAAATAAATAAATAACATCTGGATGATTTCTGTGGACTCTATAAGGGAGTCGAGTGAACACACTGAATTTTCCCCAATGAACAAAACGTATGCACAGTGTTGCGTTGACTGTTAGTGACTGAATCTGCCCAAAATTCAGTAAACTTTATTTTTCAGGACGGCGCATTTAGCAAGAGCAAATGTCTGTAGATATTTTGTAACTCAGTGTTACTTCTAAAATAAGGGGTGTGCGATAGACTAACCTCCACGTGGTGCACCCTGAGCAACGTATACTCATACCCAAATAGTCCATAAACCGGCAGTTAATTTCTGACTTCTAACTACCATGACACCACTGTATGTCATATTCGACCACTTTCACGGTACTCACCTTTTTTCTACCTTTGTGTCTGCTTCTTTTACATCTTTGAAACACTCTTCTGTTCGCCCCCCCCCCCTCTCGACTTTCTGTTACTTTGATATTCCTTCCCCTCTGTGAAGCCCGAAGTCAACTAAAATGCTAATGATAACTAACAAAACGCCTGCCATTTGATATAAATAAATAAAACTTCTACAATAAGTTTCCCCACTAAACAACTTTCTGCTGGTCTGTATTTATAAGGTTAATTAACTAATGACACCACAACACTGAGCAACACACAGTTAAAATAAAATGGCCATGGACATCACGTGACTCTGCGTAAGCGTTCAATACCAATTTCGCATGGTATTGGACATGGTACTTTTTATCATGACCTCATGGTAAATATTGAGCTGAATACGGTTACGGACGAGGTAACCTCTTATTCGACCCATTCCTCTGATTGTTATGTGATGTGATCCAGCAACGCTATTCTATCAAAGATCCTCAAGATCTTTCGTTACTATTTCCCAATAATTTGAAGAGTGCATAAGCAACATTAATTTAATTTAAGGCAACAATAGACCACAACCAATATCCTTTATTCATAAAGGAAGTTCAATATTGAATAATTTCATCCAAATCTAGTAAAAGACTTCATGGAAAGAAAAGTTTAGAGAAAGTACAAACAGTAGAAAGAGAGAGGGAGGGTAGCAAATTTCAAGTTTCCAGATTATCATTGCATTTTTAGACCGAGAGCCTCCACACGAAATCCAATCTCCTTCAATTCACTGTGTGGAGCAACTAGACGTCCATCGAAGAAAGAGGCGGGTTTTCGCATGGAATCATACACTGCTTTGTAATCAAGAGTCTGCCAGGAAAGGCAAAAGAAGGTAATACTTCGAAAGTGCACTAATTATTTAAATTTCCTAATCATCTTTTGCCAAAGAAGTCTCAGTTATTCCATACCATTTTAATCGATTAAAAGCCATTTCACCTCAAATATTTTAAAGTTGCAAAATATTAAAAAAAAACATGGAAAAAAGCATTTTTTAGGAACAAATGAAGTACACTCGCCACAAAGCTCATTGGTAACTTAATTCAAGAAACTCCTAGTGGCTCATCCAATCAGGAATAATTTCGTCATCTTTTCAGCAATTTTAACGTTTCTAGATTTCCTAGGCTTATTATTGGTAAAATGTAAGTTTTGACCATTAGTCCATTGTTCTTACTTTTGCCACCACACAGTGAATTTCCATGACGTCTCGTCCACGATACTCCTGTTTGAAATTAGCCGCATATATTCGATCATATACTCTTAATACCTATCTTATCTAATTCGTTATTTCGATAGAAATTTAGGAAAGTTGGTGTAAGAATTATTCAGATAGGATAAGGTCAGGGTAATGGTTGAGTAGAAAATTAAGCCTAGTCAAACAAGTTTCAAAGCTCATTTAAATAGAAAGCCTATTCTTGGTGTCAAGCCATACAAATCGAGACTCAAAATACAGACAAATAGGGGTTTAGAGTAAACGACAAACTTGGAGGGATTTCGCTGAAGGCAAGAAAACAAAACCAAGTTGATCCGCAGCACATTTGATTTATCAAATAAAATAAGAAAGGAATACTAGTGACATTGAAATTGCATTTATTAGTTTTTAAATTTTTTACTCTGCTTCACATATGACAGTTCTTACACTTTTTGGCCATTTAGCCATCTCCAAGCTCTTTCTAATGCATTAAGCTGTGGACTCTACTCCGTCAACAAGTCGTACTTCATATTTTGATGAGTAGAAAGGTACGGACTTTCTCTTTGCTCAACCCAAAAGGTAAGTTTTCATCTATTATAGCTATCGTCTTTATCTCCCTGTCGCAGTTTGTCTCTCAAAAATTTGAAGGAAACCACGGTCATCCCCTAGTGTGATTGTATGATTATCATGAAAAAAATTATAACAAACGAATCTAAAATGTGGCATCGTGGGATACAGAGTGAACATTTCCAAAGGAGCTATCATAAAATAAAATGCACTCTAAATTGCTGGGATCATTTTGTTTAAGCAAGCTGATTTCAAGATGAGCCTTAAAAAGTGATGTTAGCCTTACCTTGAATTCATCACAGTCGGTGCACACAATGATTCCATCGGAGTTTGAAGCGGCTTCCATTGGTGTCTCACACCAAATTATATTATCAAGGTTTGCTAAAGTTAAAGGGAAAATACGAAAATCAATATACGCATAAAAAGAGAATGAGGAATGATTTCTAAGTATATGAATTCATAATCTCAATTAGTTGCATACCAATTCAAAAGAGATCACTAAACTATTGGCTAAATAAGATCAAAAGCCGGTAGATAAGTCAAGAAAAAATCGAGAATAGAGGATGACAAGAAATTCGATAGATTTTTTATTAATTAGGCATCAATATTTCAGACTGTTCTGGTACAACAAAATCAAGTTACGATGCTGATATTTCCGAAAACAAAAAAAATAAGGACAAGAGGACATTAATCTCTGAGATGGTTAATAGAAAGACGATTTTAAACTTGATAGACGATTGATTACAGTAGCTAGCGAGGAAGCAAAGTCTTCAGACTAATGATGTCTGATTAGGGGTGTGTGATAGACTTGCTTCCACGTGGTGCACCCTGAGCAACGTATACTCATACGGCAAAAAAGTTTATTACCTGGCAGTTGACTTCTGACTTCACACTACCATCACCCCACTGAATGTCATATTCGACTACTTCCACAATACTCACCTGGGGTGCGCGATAGTCTTACCTCCACGTGGTGCACTCTGGGCACTGTATGTCATATTCGACTACTTACAGTACTCACCTCACCTTATTTCTACCTTTGTGTTTATCCCTTTTACATCTTTGAAACACTCTTCTGTTCCCTCTTGACTTTTTTTCACTCTGATGTTCCTTCCCCTCCGTGAAGCCTGAGGTCAACTAAAGGGGTAATGATAAATGTCAAAACGCCTGCCATTTGGTATAATAATGATGTTTGATTAGGGGAACTGGGGGTTGACATCCTCCTGTCATTAAGAGGAACCAATTTGTCTATCTAAAGAGTTTAATTGACAGTCCACTAGGAGGTAGTCAAATCAAGAGATGTTCTTTATGAGATGTCATGAGTCTTTTTGGGTGTTGCACCCACTACGTAGCAGTCAGTTACCAAATATGAAATTTTTATTAATTCGTGACATATAAAAACGTAAACTGGATTTCGTTCTAATTCAAGATTTACGGAAAAATCATATAAAAAGTAAATTTACCAGGTTCCTGGCCTAATGTTTCTATGATCGCATCTGCAAGGAAGTCCATTTTTGATAGAGGATCATAAACAGCGACTAGTGCGTCTTCTAACAACAATCGACAGCAGATGAAAACTGCCGGACTATTTCTATGAAAACCAAAAAAAACCAAATTAATTTGTTAAATATTTTAAAAGACAACAGAAGTAAAATGTGTGTTCTAACTTGACGTCTGGAGTTCCTTTCTTGAAAGCGCATCCAAGAATGGCCAACTTCTTGCCACGAAGGGTCTCGCAGTAGTGGGCAGTGATCTTTCGGAAAAATCGCGAGATCTGATACTCATTCACGCTTAGAATAGAATTCCAGTAAGCAGCCACGGTTGGCAAGTCCAATGATTCGCAGGTGTAAACCTATAAGCGATAGTTATCCAACTTATATTTGAGGTTAACTAAACGGTAAAATCACCGTCAACTTACAAGGCGGTGGAGATCTGCAGGCAGAGTATTTCCACCGAATCCCAGTCCAGCTTCAAGGAAGTGCGGACCGATACGAGAGTCCCAACCAACAGCACCGGCAACTTGACGCACATCAGCGGCAGTTTCCTCGCAGATACTGGCAATCGCATTGATACTACTCACCCTTTGAGCAAGGAAAGCATTGGTCACTAGTTTGCTAACTTCTGCAGACTTTGTCGACATTGTGAGTATCTTATCACGTGGGACCCAGCGTTCATAGATGGAGGAGATAATAGCAAGAGCCTTCTGAGAAGGTGCGTTAGGCTCTCCACCGAGTATGACACGATCTGGGTTCAAGATACTCTCAGTGACACCGCCTTCTGAGACGAATTGGGGATTGGAGATAACGACGAAATTGGAGGGATTTTGCTGAAGGCAAGAATACAATATCTAGTTGAGTAGATTAAACTGATCCGACACAACCCGAATATATGTGAATAATGATCACTACGGTCGCATCTACTAAAAACGCATTTTAATACTCAACTAGATAGCACTATTAACAGTGTCTAAGTGGAGATTACAAACGATGTCGATCTGATATCCACCGAATAGCAAAAATAAACTGTTCAGAGCAAATGTGTTAGCTGGGATTATCTATTACACTTGAAAATCCTATTAGTTTGACAAGCGTCTGTTTGACCAGAGCCTTATTAATTTGTGTTAATGGGATTAATCAGTTCTCCAGGTATTGATCCCAAAACCTCTACGTTTAATGAATAGACTACTGACAATAAGATATAATCGCTGATTTTTTTATTTTTTATATAAAATTCAGCATGACTTAATCTCATCCTTAAATCCACTGACCAAAATGCTAAGAATATCGTGGAAATAATCATACCGCGAAATTAAGAGTCAAATGATGCGGATACAAGAAAGTACGAATATTTATAGACAATTTAGTACTTTCATAAAGTAGAAGTTTGTGATGCCCCATGTACAAAAATCTATAGGAATAGGGAGATAAAGCTCTAAATATGATTTATTGACACTTAGATCCAGATGTTGAACTATAAAACGGTCGAGAGTGTAGGTAAAAGAGCTGATTTAAAACTGTTGTAACCCCTCATCTGTCAACCTACCATAAACTTAAACAAATAGTGTGGGTGGGGGAAGTTTTGAATTTTGGTTTTGGATAATATTGATAGGCAGATATTTTATTCCGAGATCATAAGACGTAAACAAGAAGACACAAAGCATCGCCATACTTTGCTTCAAGTACATGAACTTCTCCACAAAAAACAGGCCAATAGAAACTAAAACTCCCACTTCTTTCTACTTCACATTGGTGTATATTTTAAGGTATGACATACCGGCACATATATCAATAATGACTTGCCAACTAACATAGTAAAAGTCCTAAAAATCAGGATATATAGAAGCTCATTCTTCAAGGGAATTAGTTCATTTATTGGAAGCAAATTTTCCACATTCCTTTACAAATCCCTTGGCCCTAGTGATTTACAACATTTCACAATTAATTTTGTGACAAGGAGAGCTTGTTATCCAACAAATGAGAATGATAGATTTCTTCGATGAGATCTTAGAACATTTAGTAGAAATATGGAAGGCGGGAGATGTACATTATATAAAATAAACGATTCCAGTCCATTTCGAGGCACGATGGAATAAAGAGACTTTTAAAGTACAAAATAGGAAAATCATATACCGATTAAACAACAAGTGTAATAGATTAAAAATAAGAACTCATAGAGAAATTTTTAAAGTTTGGGAAGTTTGCTATTTAGTGCTCACTTTTCTCAATTAAGAAAAGAACGTAATAAAACCACCCCCCCCTACTTTGTTCTGCAAAATACAAGTGTAGAAAGATTTTTTAAATATCGGATTTGACTTATTTTCGATTTCATTGATAAGAAGTTGAAAAAACACCAATTTGAATTACCACTCAATGAAGAATTAAATAATTATCTGCCAATCAGAAGGTGTGTCAAACCTTCTTTCTTAAAATAGTAATTTGAAGGCAAGTAAAAATTGCTCTAACCTTCTTATTAGCATTGAAAATGCTGACGATGAGATCAGTGGCTCCTATTGGCACAGTACTCTGGACAACCACAATCGCTGAAGAGGTGCATGAAGAGACTATTTGCCTTGCGACCTCTTCGATACTACCAAGATCTGCAGCCCTGCCCTAAAAGAGAAAAAAATTCAAAAGCTGCTACAACCCAACAGACAATCATACGAAAATTAAGATGGATACTTACACGGCCAAACCCAAGCGACTTCGTAGGCGTTTTGACACAAATTAGAATAATATCTGCATCTTTGAGATAAGTATCCACATCTGAGGAGATGGACAAATTTTTACCAAGACACTCTTTAAGAAGATTTTCAAGACCGGGCTAAAAGTATAGATAATGATTGTAATCTTTTAGACAAAGAGTTGCAGGAAGAGTGAATATAAATTTGCCTCGGTAATTGGATGTTCAGATCCCTTATTCCACTGATCAATGATGGCCTTGTCATTGTCGACAACGCTTACGGAGAACTCGGGACACTTAGATGCAATCACAGAGCATATCGGCACACCTAAGATACCAGCGCCGACACCACAGATCTTGAATTTATTTGAACTCATTTCCTAAAAATAGTAGTATAATCTCTATGGTTTATAGCGACATTGTTGTTTATGTTCGTCTTATCGCCAATACATTGTCACATACAAATGATTATGCAGACAAGGAGTTTGTGAATTAAGAACATAGCGTGCCAAAAATGATAGTCCGAAAGTAATTTATTATTATTCATTGTTATTATTGATAGATTAGGTGACTTAATATTTTAAATAACTTAACAATTAATTACCGAATTAAGTAGCAAACGTGTAACTCCAATCGTGAGGTGACATACACAATTTGCTCTTTAAAGGATTAAAAGTAAGCACAAGGTTGATAAACAAAGCAAGCAAATTAATTCATATTACTATTTAACCAAATAGAATCTGAAAGATTTGTAATATTTTATTTTGCTTTACGACAAATATTCTAAGTTTATTCTCAAATAGCTTCTGTAGATTTCTTCCACATTTGGTTTTACATCTGTATTTTTTCACAAGATGTCCAACCCTTAACTTTTTGCAGATGATATAATTAAGGAAGGGACTAAAAAACATATAATTTCTTTATTTCTAATCAATGGAAATGAAATTTGTGCCTTTATGATTTTAAATAAAAATGAGCTGCAACAATGTACTTGATTATTTCTGTCAATTATTATTGTGTTTTTAGAGAATTTGAAATAGCGTCGGTTATTATATATGCGCATAACCCTGCCTTCAAAGCTGTTTTGTCTATCTAATTAATTAATAAGAATGTTTGAATTTTATGGAATCTGCTTTATATCTGATGCCCATTGACAACAGGATTGTTATAAACTAACGGAAGTCTTAATATTGTTAGTTAATTAGAAACTTGACTTCTTCACCATTAATTTTTGTTATTAGACAGTCTTGATTTTTTTGATTTCCATTCTTTTGTACGTGAACAATACCTTGCCATCTTTCCTTGATATTTGCGAGGAAGCAGCGATGGTGACAAAATAGGTTTAGATAATTCTGTAAATTGCAAATAATTGTTTAAGAAATTAAGTTCAGTTATTTATTTCGAAATTTTCCGTCAAATGTCGCTAGTGCTCTTTCGGAGACAAAATAAAAAATCCCAAAATAATCATATTTTTGTTGAATACTACGTGGCCTGTTTTGGTTTTATTCTCTACTTTAAAAGCATCCCTTCATAATCCAATATAATAGGAAAAGGATGAATGCAAAAATGTGTACAGTTTTCAGTTAATTAGTGCTATATGCAGGACTTCATGTATTTGCGGTATTTGTCTAAGTAATATTCCCTGTGAAATAAAAATATTTTTGCATCGACAATCCTATTGAATATTTGAGAATTCGAACTCCGATATAGTTATTGGATGGAATTTGTTCCCGTAAAATAACATAACGGTAATTTTGTTTAGAAGATGAAGAAATTGAAACATGAATATGTATTTATTAAAAGTGTTTAGATTATTTTCAAAACTCTGAGTATTACATTAAATCGTCAAGACGTTTTACTAAAATGTAGATGAAATTGAAACATATACCTTTTCTTTATATCTGGGCAGTTTCAGATATCACCTTTAATACGTTGATGGTGAAGTGGGTCACATTAAAGTGACGGGAGAATTAAATTATCCATTGAAACTCTGTGATTACCATTAATAGGCTTGATATCCCCTTCTCCAGTAGAAATGAACTTGCTTATCCTGAAGTTGTCAAAGACAGGGGGACAAATTGCAACTCAAACTCTAGAGATAACCTTACTTTTTTGGTATTAGTAATGATTAAAGCTTTGCACTTTAATTTGTTAATCTACCGAGTTATAGTACGCAAGATAAAGTAAGCAAAATATATTATACCGTTTTTCTTCAATTGCTATTTCACAAATCCTATCGCTCTACAATTTCAACTTTACTGAAGTTAATTCATTTTAGATTTCATTCAAGTGAAATAGTTTCTTAAATCAATTTTTTTCCCATGGAGTGCACAGTGTTAAGAAGGCTGAACAAAGGAATTGCGTGCGCATTCGAATAGTCTAGGTCGTTCTACTCTGAACGCGTGGAGAGTAATTGTGGTCAAAGTGCAAAGGTCCCCCAGCAAACCAGCAATCAATATTGTTATATTGCTAGTGTACCTATAATTGGACATTAATGACCAAGCCTTGTGACAATGGCAACACAACCAGAATAAACGCTCTTCACTTCATACACTCTGTTTCCTCGATATTGTTGGCGTAGCTTAGTTGGATTAGAGGTTTATCCGCTACTACGCTTAAACAAACAAATCACTACATAACTGAAATTCAAATGAAATAGGACAGAACACCAAGTACATATCAAAAGATTAACGAGATCATATATATTATAACATTACTAAGGTTGCATTCAGGAGGTGGAATTCTTTTGCATGCAGCAGTAAGCAATGTGTTTCAAACATACAAATTACCTCATAGAGATACTCTGTTTTATTAGCCGGAATAGGCTAGTTGTTTAATAAGTCTCACTGAATTGATTTTTGTTCACCTTCCGCATCTTATCCAAGTCTGCACTCTCCATTCACCCTTCCTTCAGTTCTCGCCCTTCCTCAACTAACACGTGGTCTTCTCATTCCGTTAACTATTTTAAGACAATCAGTTACTTGGAAGACCGCGGGAAGGGGGGTATTTCTTCGCTTTTTTAATGTATCTTTTCTGCTGAAATTACTTTCCTTTACGTTCTTAACATTACTCCACTCCAAATTAATTCCGGATTGTGCATAGTTGCCAATAGTTTAGTACACATTGCACGAATCATATTTATGACTAAATCCTTTGTTTAAATAGACGAAATTCACAAAATTCATTTATTTGATAATGAGATAAAGGAATATTGAGATATTATGAAAAAGCAGCTAAAAAGTGCCAAAATGGTTAATATTTGGCTGCGGACTTTTTTAAAATGCCAACATTCGTAAGTTTGCGCCAGCTGTTGAAGGCGGCACAATAGACAATCTGCCTACGTCATCTAATAAATGATGCCTTTCAAAAAATGTCACGACGTTTAGCCATTCGAAAGTATTATCACATGCCGGTATGTTGGTGGAGAAAGAGCAAAGGAGAAAATGTCATAATGATGACAGATTCCTGCCATGCAGTTGATACGTGAAAGGGGAGGGGGTCGTTATTAAATAAATTTATTTATATTTACTTATCAGGGGTGTGCGATAGACTTACCTCCACGTGGTGCACCCTGGTGGGTGTGCGATAGACTTACCTCCACGTGGTGCACCCTGGCAACGTATACTCATACGGAAAAAGTCTATTAACCGGCAGTTGACTTCTGACATTAAACTACCGTGACCCGACACTACGTAATATTACACCACCCCAGAGTACTCATTTTACCCTTTCTCTACCTTTGTGTCTGTCTGTCTGTCTGTCTTTCTTACATCTGTGAATCACTCTTCTGTCCCTCCTCTCGAATTTTCCCCACTTTGATGTTTCTCCCCTCTGTGTAGCACGAGGTCAACTAAATGGCTAATTATAACTATCAAAGCGCCTGCCATTCGATATAAATAAATAAATATTTTAACGTATAAACATGAAAAAAGGTAAGTTACTATATGTAATCCGAACTGGCTGATGCATGACTATGATAGAGGTCAATAGGTTGAGAAATGATTCAAAGCGGTATATTCCATGGGGTTCTGAATTTTTAGAAATCAGAACTGGCACTGAACATGATGTGAATTTTTAAACTGGCATTCTTATTGGTTTTACTTAAATTAAGTTATCTTGCATTGGAAGTAAATCGATCCTATAAATAATTCAAATCTCACATATGGCGTCTGCCTTAATTGTATGTGAGCGCACACTGATCTCAACATCCACTTGAAATTAAAATATAATCGATCTGGAGATACCTTAAGTTTCAACCATTGATTGCATATGGAAGACTTTTGCTCATACAAATACTTGTGGTTAAATAATTAAGGTGCTGATGAACCATTCTGAATCATTATTACTTGTAGCAATGAAGTATTTAAACTGAAATAATAGTAACAGCGGGAAGTAGATTAAGAAATTCAGAACAAAACACTTCACAATTATATCCAAAGGACGATTATATTGAATTGTTCTTTTTAAAATAAACACTATTATTCAGCCTTAGAGAATGCTATAGATGTCAATAAATCACACATCAGCTGCTACAGCCTTTCGAATATTGCAGATGTGCTTTATTAAATTCGATAATCGATTATGGTACACCCATTGCCAGCTGATTATGTTCCGTGTAGAATTTGAGTTTTAATTTGCTACAGTTTTGAAATTTGACCAGGTTGCAGTTGACACTGATCAGTGTCAATTTAAAAAAATGCAATAATCAACGTGGCTTCACAATCATAAACGGAAAAAAATCATTGAAGCGACAAGACCGAGCTTTGCAGATTAAAAACAGGCCTATAGGCCCTGAACATCGTAAACAGGCCTGTACTGCAATTCTGTGGACGAAAAATGAAATCCGAATTTTTGAATGTGAACTACTCATTTAGTGAACAATGTACACTCCGAAACCCGAAATTTATTTATTTATTTCAAATGGCAGGCGTTTTGATAGCTATCATTTGCCATTTAGCTGACTTCGGGCTTCACAGAGGGGAGGAGGAACACCAAAGTAGCAGAAAGTCGAGGGGTGGGGAACAGAAGAGCGATTCACAGATGTTAAAGAGGCAAACAGACACAAAGGTAGAGAAAAAGGTAAGATGAAGGGGTCGAATATGACATACAGTGGGGTCATGGTAGTTTGAAGTCAGAAGTCAACTGCCAGTTGATAGACTTTTTTGCCGTATGAGTATACGTTGCCCGGGGTGCACCACGTGGAGGTAAGTCTATCGCAAACCCCAAAATAAAGTATTGTAAAACTCTAGGATNTCTGAAATTTGTTTATTTATACCAAATGATAGGCTTTTGATAGTTATCACTGGCTCTTCGGCTGATTTCTGTCTTCACAGTGAGGAAGAACATCAAAGTGAAAAAGGTCGGAATGAGGGGGGGG